AAAAAATACAAAACTATATTTACAGCATGCTCCTAGTGGTAGCAGTTGTAGTTCTTATTTTATGGAGTTGGTTTCTATGTACAAATAGTCACTAAATCTGTTAAATTACCACCTTTTAAAATAAAAATTTTTAAATGCTATCTGGGTGAACATGATTTTCTTCTTTGGGCCTTCCCAAATATTCTTCATCTTTGGTGCGCATTCCGTTTGTCATGGAGGAAGATAAAAGAAAAAGTTGTCATTCACAGCCCAGTGTTCTTGGGGCTGATGTTGGTGGAATTCATTCTCTCTGCTCAAGACTCGACCTCAGACCATACCCTGTGCCTTGGACCCATCCCTCAAATGCATGGTCTTAGTCTCAAGGATGACAAGGAGTAGGGGGTATAGAAGTGCCAGCCTCACCTCCACCACCCCTGGAAAAACCATTCAGAACCGAAGACTTTGCCCACCAGGCACTGCCCCAGAATGGGCACTCAGGCCACAGTCACCTGCCCACCTCCGCCCCAGTGATCTGTTTTCTGCTGTGCATTTTCTCTCTGTGCCTTCGGGGCGTCTTGTGCTTAGGAGATCAGCAGAGGCTTTCAAGTCAAAGCTCTCCTCAGGGGGCACTCTAGGTGAGATCCTGTGGCCCCACACACCCCAGAAGCGCCACCTCTGCTTTGGGGCTGTGGCATGAAGCACTCCAGGAAACAGGATTTGAGAGGGTTTTGTTCCTCACCGCTTCCTCATGTTCGGCTCATCCTGAGCCATGGAAACTCTTTGCAGTTGGTAATTGGAGGGATCCTATCCTGAGAAGAAGTTTAGCCAGAAGGGTAAGATCCCTCTGCGCAGGGTAAGGAGTGTCCTGCAGTTCACTTCATCCCAGCTCCAGTGGTTATGAGCAGAAGGACCGGGTAGGAGGCTGTCTCAGAACATAAGAATGTGTGGGCAAGAAAGGAAGCGGATGAATGAGTTCTCAGGGCCACAAAAAGGCATTCCTTCACCAACAGAACTGCAGAGAGGTGACCCGGGAAAATTAGCAGCCTTGTTCTTCCAAATGCACACTTTAGAACAGCATACCCATCCATTTCTTTACAGCTCTGGGTACCATTTGCAAAGAAAAAAATAGCTACCTATGGGGTGGCGCCTGTGGCTCAAAGGAGTAGGGCATCGGCCCCATATGCCAGAAGTGGAGTCCAGGGAGTCAAAAACTTCAAAAAAAAAAAACAACAAAAAAACTACCTATAAACCTGGGATTGTAAGCAAGGGCAGAGTAAGTGGTGAGCACCTGGCAGGCTGTGAAAAGCTGTGACATGGCTTCCCCTAGCCTCCTGAGACAGCTTCAAGCCAGTCTGTGTTGGTGCAAAAGCTTTTCTCCTATTGTCATGAGCTCACCCTGTGCTCAGAGTGACCTGACCCTTCTGTTGCTTGGCATTGCAGGCCTGGCACTGGTGCCAAGGAAACTCTGTGCCCACTATGCCTGGGACATCA